TATATTATATTGTCTATTCTATTCAGGAAACGATACTGGAATATCTATCAACGAAAGTATTCTATATTGCTTTTTTCAGGAACTGGATACGAAAAACAGACCAAAATTTAACCCTGGGAATATCGGACCGGCTAAGAAAATAGATCAAGGTAAGAAATTACATTGATGATAGGAAAGCGGTCATGAAACACATTATCAAAGCACTTAGTAATTAGTTCTTACGCGGGCTGTGTGTATAAATTAGAAGCGCACCATCGTATAAATAATAATAACAAAGTATGCATGAAGCTCAATATTCTTTTGTGCAGGAGATTCAAAGAAAGAATCGAAAGATATCTGGGTTAATGAAGAAGTACCAGAGTCGGCCCATGGTGAGGATGAATATGACCCAAGACCTCCACCAGAGTAGGTGTTGATTCAGAACACATTCCTTTCTGTTATGAGTATGCTGTCTTCATTTGAATGACACCAAGAAAATTGTTTTTGTCTTTTCACTATAAGTGCACTCATAAATCACTTTTGTCCATCAACAGCAACCAAAAAAAAAAAGAAAGACTAGAAAAAAGAAGAAAAGGAAGGAAGAGAAAGAAAGAATAAAAATGAAATTTCAAGCCAAAGCTATTGAAAAAAAAGTATATGATTCTAAAAGCTTTTCTTATTCTCCCAGATATGAAATGATATTTAAGCAGGCTATCACCTCAGAAGACATGTACCTACAAATGGGTAACAAAAATCCATCTACTGCATCATGTGAAGATATGGTGGTAAGTTGATTTTATCCTTAAATCAATAGTTTTTTKAATTCTCTTTTATTATCTCTTCTTACCCTGCACATACTGTAAGAAATATTGTTATGCATGTTAAGTGGCACCAAAATAAAGGATTATAGTAATTACTTGAATTTAAATATTCTCTTGTATAGATAAAAATTAAATTACCTGGAACAGAGTTGAAAGATGTTGACCTTGATGTGACTGATAAATTTTTGGATTGTCGTACACCTAAATAGTAAGTAAATATGAAGATAACTATCATTTATCCATCCACAACATCATGTCATATGATTCATCATGATATTACTTATTCGATGACTTTAGGATTATTTCCCTTGAGCCCTTGGAACCATGGCTGTGGCTGGCTGGTCAAATTGGAATAAAACATTTTGTTGTTTTGTTTGTGACTCGTAAACAAAGTACCAGTATATCATAAACTTCTGAACACATTAGTGTAGACTTCAACTTCAGACAAGATTCAAACCCAGCACCCACCCCTAAMCACTCAACCATGAAGGGATTCTCTTGGTTCTTCTTCTTTTTCATTGTCATATTTAAAATGATGTATCATTACTTTTATCATTAGTGTATGCACAAAAATATTTATTATATAATATATTATATCATAGAAATATGGCTACTARTTGATTGAATTTGCATATGGAAATTTGAAATTGAATTGACGATTCCCGTAAACAAAGTTACCATCAAAGCTTTACCAGCCAAAGTATATCCATAGATGTGAAAATCATTTCTGAATTAATGCATTCTGATTTTCAGTATTATAGTATAAGTTAAAAACTTTCATTTTTGTACTAGAGAGGTTTTCAAAAACCCATGAAACAAAGTGTATTAACTAAGGTGTAATAAATTGTAATACACCGAAAACACAACAGAAAATCAAAAGAAAATGTGGACAATAAAGTGTATTAAAAAGTGTAATATGCTAAAGTGTATTTCACGGGTTTTTGAAAACCACTCAATTCAAAGTCATTTGAATATTAATAAATTATGTATGCAAGTCATAGGTCTGTGGTTATCAGATTATGATAGCGTGAGAATGTCTCATTGCTCTCTTGCATTGCATAGAGGCCTATATCAACCAATCCTAAAATAAAAAAGTGACACTTCGTGGCAAACAYGGAACAAAAACAGTAGGCAATCAGTTTCCATGTCTCCACTGGCTAAAGGGGAGGGTTGTTTAATCAATAGCGATGATGACAGGAATAATATATTACTATAATCAATATTGAATATATTTTTATGAACATTAGTATTTGTATTTATGTAACTTTTACAATATCTAAATTTTTCACCAGTAAACTTGCCCTTCATCTTCCTCACAAAGTGGATAGTGCTAATGGTAAAGCTCAAATGGACACTGACAAAGAAGTATTGAMTGTTACTGTTAGAATGGTCAGGGACTTTGATTTCTTTAACACCTAGCATCGCATCTTATTCAATAGATCTTATATAAGTTTTTCCTATAAATATAATATATTGTGAATTAGATATTGTGGATACATGTTCTATGTAATCAATATCATTGTCATTTGTTACTGTAATAAAAGCTATTTCATTATTCAGTTTTTCTGTAGAGTATTGCATGTTTTTGCATATGTTCTTGACAGAGGTACAAGCAATATTATAGGTACTTAGTTTAAAAGTAAATATAAGTTTATAATTGAATAATAAAAGTTAATCGTACTTTGATTCAACCGCTAATGAATGTCATGAATGGAACCCTCTTCGCTTTTTAACGCAATATTTCTAAGATTTTGAAGGATTCAGTGAAGTGGTTACAATCATAATGGAAAAAAGTAACGACCGATTATGAACACTCCAGGATGATTCCTGAACAATTATTTTAGCCTAACAAATAAATAAAATAAATAAATATCATCGTGTATCATGTATCCATCGATAGAACCTACTGGATAACTCGACTAGGAGACTACTTGTATTAACAAACATTATGATCATCCATGAGGTTTTCTTCGGTTTGAAGCACGATGTGTTGAAAACAATATGATCCCTAGCAAAAAATATTGAATATTTTATAATAATGAATTCAAATAGGTACTTCAAGAAATCCTTGAGCGTATACTGCGTTATGTTAGCGTAGTTGTRACAGTATTTATCGCTTACCACAGATGATTCAAGTAGAAGTATTCGGAAATAAAAAACTTCTTCTTCGGCCGCCATTTTGATTTTAGCGCAATTTTTTTCGCGATATTTGATTGGTTAGAATCCTACCACTACCCATGATGYTTTAAGGCAGATGACGTCATAAGCCGTGGGTCGATGTTTTCGAAACTATTGGGGGAGATCTAATATATAGCCTGCGTGCAGTCGAACTAACTGTTAAGTCCGAGAGAAAAGTACGGCTGCACGCAGGCTAGATCTATAAAGCTTTTATTCGAAAACGTTAAAAAAATTTTTTTCAGAAATTGCCTAAAAGGCTAAAGATTGATAAAGATCTATAAYAACTCCAAGCCGTTGCTTTTTCTTGGCCAACTTTTTTTCACGAAATTTTAATTGGTTAAAAAGCTGCCGTTACCCATGATCCTTTAAGGCAAATGACATCATTAGTCGTGGTCGATGTCAGGTTATAGAGACCTTTAGATCCGACAACGAGAAAGAGAACGAGTACAAGTACGGGTTTTTAACGTTTAAAGAGAGGCACTATTATTTCGTAGTCGTGATCGTGTACGTAGATTGAAACTTTAGRTTGTAAAAAATTGGAAATGTACTACGATTCAGTGTTAACCACGTGCACAAGGCCAATTTTAAAACTCGTACACGAACTCGATCTCGTACTCGTCGTCGGATCTAAAGATTGATCATGAGGGGGGAACTGAGAGGGGGAAAATCTATATAGCTTCTATTTGAAAACAAAACAAAAATTTATGATTTCAGAAATTGCCTAAAAGGCTGCTAAAAATTGATAGAGATCTATAATAGCCCCACGTCGTGGTTCATTTAATGAGCTCTAGGAGGGTTTTAAGACATAACTGATTGTGATGTAATTCAATGCATAGTTCAAATTACTATTTTAAATTAATTATAGCAAAATGTCTTTTTTAAAAGAGTTGGCTACAACTTTCTTTTAAATTTAAATGTTTTTTTTCTGGTGTCTTAATGATTGTACCGTATCTTGTTTATGGTGAATAACAGAGCTAAAACACTCTATAGGCTAATATCGTTCAAATCTAATTGTAGACGGAAATCTGACGGAAAATACGATCAAAATCGAATGTAAAAACAGGATACTAAAGCAATGAAACCTTATCTGTAGTGGAAATTCATTTCTTGCGATAAAAGAAAACGTGTTCTACTTGAAAAACGCTTTGAAAACAAATAGTCTCTTCCATGAAATTAAAGCTTGTGTTTTTTTGTTTATGAATTTTTTCGTAAAAGGAAAACAAACGTAATTCTTGACGATAGAGTAAATTAGACGCTTCCTAAGGGCGTGGAAGGTGTTTGATATAACCCTATCTGCCTTCAAATGTGCATTAAAAAMCAAATTAAACAGGGCTCTGTGTATATACAGTGTTTCCGTGACATGACAGTTTACTACACCTAGTCGGAAACAATGTAATCTTAGTGTTATACAAGTACACGTCTTATTAACGCGTTACGGTCCAAAAAGGTTGCCGCTTACTTGATTTTGAAAAAGAAGAAGAAAAATAGCAAATAAACACACGCTACRCCAGGATGTTGCTTCCGTGGAAATGGCAGTTTAATGTTCGCTTGTAAAGTCGTAGATCGATCCATTGTAGATTACGACAAAATGAACCTAACCTTGGCAAGACGTAATTCTAGAAATCTTGACATGTACAGATTGGCAATTTGAGGAAATAAATAATTTTTTTTYCCAGTTTATAGACAATCGAGTGTAAAAAGAAAAGTTGAGAGAAAGCTCTGAAAGCTTCCGGGAGGACATAAACAAATATTAGCCAATCGGCATAATGTCTACCAAAAGGCGCTTTCTTTTTCGTTAATTCTACCGCCCTTTGAAGACTCCCCCTGAATATCCTCATYTTTAAGGCCATGTAATTTAGTCCGGCACAATCAAGAAAAAGAGTGCTTCATCCTCTGYTCAATATGTCGTTCATAATTGAATTTTGCTATGCTTATTAATTGCACTTTGCCAAAGGCAAGCCATTTGCAGAAGGGATAAATAGCTATCTCTTTTATTCCATTTAAGCTGAGCAAAGCAAATTAAGAGTTCTCACGACTTTAGAATCTTCCCCTGTAGTTTTGCAGCATTTTTCTCTTCTCTTTCCCTTTGTTTCAAAAACCTTTTCGATGCATTCAGATCCTTTTTGTTTTGTCATGAATGTGAATCAACAAAAAGAAATGAATTTCAATGGTAATGCCCATTTGTCCTTATCAATRCTCTCCCACACGTCTACTTAAAGATGAATAGTCTTAATAAAGTCGTTTAAGCAGATTTTTCGCAAGTTTGTTTTCCTTGTCATTAAATATATCGCATTTCAAGTTAAGTTCCTAAAAATCAAGCCAATGAACAACTGGGAAGATCCAAACACAATCAAACATGATGTTCTTAAATCAAGTCAGCTTTATTTRGGTTTGCTTTGTTATATAAATACTTCACTGTTTTACGGCTTTAGATGGTCTTATGGTCTTTTCACAGGCAGCTGGCGTAGTTTTGGCGCCAATGGGCATAAGTAATCATATTGCGTAGTTTGAAAACAACTCAGATTACGTTGGTTCATGTAGTTACAAGGTATTTTACTTAGGATTTCAAAACCCTAATGCTGGGTGTTCTCAAATAATACTCGAAAGTTTGCTTCCCTTTTGCCCTCTAGGTATTTGGGCGCGCTTTTTTTTGGATCAAAGGTGATATTACTTCCTTTTCTTTCTTCCTGTGCGCGATGTTGGTAAATGGGCTTTTGAAAATTAATCAGACAAGCTAAAGTATGTCTTGATCGGTGTAAGAAAGAGCTGAGTCTCTGTATAGAACTGTGCGCGATGTTGGTAAATGGGCTTTTGAAAATTTATCAGACAAGCTAAAGTATGTCTTGATCGGTGTAAGAAAGAGCTGAGTCTCTGTATAGAACAAACRCAAAAATACCGTCGAATGTCGGCGAATTCACTGGAGCTAATTACGGTCCTTTTTGTGGGTACACATGAAAGGCGTAGTGTTGCAACAGATCCATAGAGAAGAATACATTTGTAAAACATCTACCTCATTGTTAGTTCTGAGTACACACGGAAGGACAAAGGGATATATACTATTGATCTCGGTATACCAAGTACCATGGCACTGATTCTAGCCATCGTACCATCTATAAAATAAGATACTAAATAAATCATACCACACTACATAAACAGACATATCACTAGCTGTYCATCGCACTCTCCGATCACTTCACATTGRCCTACCATCATACTGTGAACGTGTTGTCGGTGCATGCTTTCCTGCCATTAGAGCAAAACTATATMTATCCTCTCCAGCTACTCCGGTTCACTGATGACCATAAGTACTCTTAGCCTTCGTAATTTACCTTTTTTAATGCTAGACATCAATATATTCAACTATATACGTGTCATATACTATGCCCTGTAACAGTCACTTCAAGTTCTAATCAACATGACGACTTCGGAGTCTCCGCAGCCAGTGATCAATATTAGTCGGTCCCCAGTCTGCCCCTAAAGCTGTTGAACACTTCGTTGGTCAGATACTACATGATGGGGCACGGGGATTCCTTCTCTTAGTTCATATTCTCTTGACAAAGACCTAAAGCTCGCATCCATCGGCTCTACTCTGCTTGGAAGAGTCTCCCTTGAATTTCAGTCTCTCGTGTGCTCTTGGAGAGGTAAACTGAAATTGAGGAGATTCCCTCGCAGGGTAATCTATCTCGTACCATAAAAATAAACAAATGTATTCCTTGATTTTGTTGTAGTACTGTAACTCCCTTTACAAGATTATCATAATTATTTATAAATAGCTCCTTTAAAATACTCGCCTTACGATATTTTGATGTCTGAGATCGTAATGTTAATTTTCTTATTCCATTTTGAATTCAAATAGACAAAATAAGACATTTGAAATAATTGTAACAAAAAATATAATCCGGTATTTCGAATATTACTATAAACAATTCTACGATTATATTGAGCTTATGCTGTTAAGCCGATCTGATGGACTGATGAGATAGAGGGATTCCTTGAAAGGGTTCTTTGTAGGCTTGAATCTCTTGTTTCTATGAAATGTTGCGAGTAAGCAGTSAACATCGTTCACATTCCATCCACAATTACATTCTCCATTCAGTTGACCATAATAAATACCGTTTTACTGAGCAACCCTCTACATTATAGCTGTTGATAGGAGCATCATCTCGTGTCATCTTCTCTCCATTTTTGTGCGCATTTTGTTGAGTAATTTCTCAGTTTTTTCGCTGTTGCAAGTGTCAATCAATGATCAAACTTTCTGCTGTACTTCATCAACTTCATCAGCATTGTTGTTCTCAACTCGACTGGGTAGATTTGCAGGTCGCTCATCCATTTGCTGAGCGGGTTGTGCTCTGGTTGTCGTGGTTATTTTGGATAAAGATCTTGCAATTCGTTGGCCGTTTTCACAGACGGTCAAAACCTTGAAGACTGCCGCTCTTATTTCTCTGCTTCTTAAGCAGTAGATAATAGGGTTTAGAGTGGAGTTGATGTGAACGAGTGTCTCTGCAAAGGATGCAACTATGTATCTGGTGCTGTAAGAAAGTCTATGGTTCAGGATTATATCTACAATAACCACTATAACTATGGGAAGATAGCAGGCCATTAGTGCTCCTATCGTAAAGACAGCCGTCTTTAAAGCTTTCCTCTGCCTTGCGACGTCTTGATTTGGTGGTTGATCGGACGGTTGTTGGGAATTTATCTGATGTTGATGCTGTTTGGCCAGCTTGATCATCTTCGCGTAAATGAAAGAGAGAATAACGAATGTTATAATCATGACAGATACGCAGACCAACTGAACGTAAGCGCCAGCCAAGCCAAGTGTCCAGGAAGCAACGAGGATGATCCACATTAACCAAGCGAGGATGAGAACAATGAATATCTTGGTGGCAGTGACCCATCGATTGTACTTGAAGGGGAAAAGAATGGCAATGCAACGGTCACAGCTGATGAAGAGTGCTGTCATGACTGACATCATGGAACAAAGAAACTTGACGCTGTCATATGTACCATTGATGCCACAGGTTCGTTGTTCAATGAGAATTTCAATGTGTGCCACAATATTCAAAGGTTGGACTATGGCACCAACAAGAACATCAGTAACAGTCAACCACGCGAGAAGGTAATTGGCATTGGAACGAAGACTTGTTTCTTTCAATATTGCATACAGAACAACGCTGTTGAAGACAAGTGCGGTTACTGCCGAAGGTCCATTGATAATACAGTTAATGACTGCTGTTGATATTACACCATCACTTAACTCGATGTTATGAAGAATTTCATAGCCACACCGAACAACGCTTGTTTGGTTTTGGTCGTTCATGTTCTTCGCGAGAATCTCTCTTCTTAGTTCGGCCGTGTAAACCTATGTGCCTTTCTCGAGAGGTCTTGAATGAGTTGTAGACAAGATGACGCGCAGAGTAGAACCTCCTTATAAGCGCTATCGACAATGTAAAGTATTTTCCAACGTTTCCTCTGCTTTTGATGCCGCTCATTTCAGTGAAACTAATTTCTTTTTGCCGCTCGTCATTTTATCTTGTTTTTTGTCAGATCAAATAGATGATGTCAAGAGAGATTGAATCACCTGCCCGTCGTCTTTGTTTGGCTTTCTACTGACGTCTATTAATACTTTTTCAAAAGGGCCTGACTTAAAAGATATGAAACTTCCTGAATCCGGTAAATATATGCGTCAAGTTGAGTAGGTATTAGGTGAACTGTATTATGAAAGGGCTCTAGTTTTTTCCTTTGAAATATGCAGCGTGTTCACGTACCTCAAGTTCTGAGTCCTGCACTAAATGTGGGTTCGTATAGAAGACAGTTCAAACTTCACTCAAGCTAAAGCTCTGTCACTACCAAAACATTGTCAGCGTAACAATGACTTGAGTGCTCAAACAATATATGCTCTAATGAAGATATATAGTTGATATATAAGAAGGTGTGTAGTTCCTCATTAGTGGCAAAATCTTTCCGTATTTCTTCTTATACAACTGAACTAATTCCAAACGGTTTAGATTTAGGAACTAAGTCTAAATACCCTGACACCAACTACTTACATGATGACTAGAAAGAAAATCAAGTGGATTTAATTTCAAAGGAATATTATAAAGTGATAATGATCTAGTAGGGCAAACACGGGTTTTCATTGGTGGATGGTAACCTGGTAATGAGGCATCTGATTGGATGTTCTGTTTCGAATTATTTCGCTTGCGGCAGAGAAGTATAACACTATATGGACGAAAAGATGGTATACAAATCTATTTCTTTACTTCATGTACTTTCTATAAATTTGAAATCATTTCTCATTAGTGCTGATATCGATGCTTGATGTTCGTCAACGAAAAATACACCCACCCACTTCTTCAAAACACCACGATTCCCACCACACCTTAGCGGTTCATAATCTGTGTTACATCTCTCGAACTACTGCATGACTTTACTTTGTTTCCCTTGGCTACATAATCTATTCTTGACCGTAGCGAACACTAGACTCACTTGTTTACTGTCTCTGCCTTTAACCGCAGTCATAAGCACCATTTCCGCCTTGTATTTATCAACCCATGTCATTATTGATCATTCTAGAAATCAACTCTTCCTTTCGCACTCTGCAGGTTTTTATTATATTTATCATTTAACATTTCCTCTCTTCGATTCGGATGTCCGCCATTACCACCTTTGTTAGAAGTCATTTCCCATACATTAATCTAGGTTTGGAAATAAGAGTTATTCATGAACCAATAATATACGCTCTACTGATTTCTACAATCAATACTAACCTGGCTCTATCTGTATTCCAGTGAGCGAGTTGATAGAGTCAAGTATATGATCCAGTCGTCTGTGGTTTGTGACTGCGTCTGTTCCGTCCAAAACATATAATATCCTCGGTACGTGCATGAAACAAATTATAAAAAATTAAACGAAAAAGCCTTTTTATTTGGAGTACGTACTTGGTTCATTTTTTATTCCAATCCCATTTGTCCATATTTTTGTTTGCTTTTGTTTTTGCGAAATTGAATTTTCAAATGTATATGCAAAATTATATGGATGGAAACTGAGAATGTTCGGTAGCATACGTCTGTCTGTGTCAATCTTAGATATCTCGACATTAGATCTTTATACTCTGTATTGTATGTCCTGTATGAAATAGAGGATTAAGGGGTTAGAAAATTCTGTTACATGAGAAAGATGAACTACAAAACCTACTAAAAAAACCCCAACAGAATTAAAGCAACAACGAAACAGAATCCAGGGGGGAAAACAATAACCTTGTTCTACCCTGGAGGTAGATAGGAAAGCATGACAAAATACAATCCCACTTTATCATTTATCAATTACTAGTCCAGTGTTGCAAATATGCCCGTTCATGAGCCAGCCGCACACAACGATTCAAGGAGAAAAGCCAGGAAGTAAACTAGACATGAATAATTTATCTCTAAAATCTTYGAATTATGAACCACTTTTCAAGAGATTTACAATACAATATTGTACCTCCTCGATGAGAAACGAAATAAGCTGTAAAGCACCTTTTTATTTTCTCTCTCTATCTGTTGCAATTACGATTATTATAAAGCATAACATGGTCTAGCTGTAGAACGTTTGTACTCGTTATCCACCAACTGACAATTACTTCAGGAAGAAAAAAAGGTAAAATCATGTATGTTTTGATGATTCTAATGTGATTAGTACATGTGGTATCGAGGTATACTGAATGATGAACAACAACTCACATAAACTAAGGCGTGGCAGAATCTAAGACACAGCTAAAATTTTGAAGAATTTTGTGGTAAAAAAAACCCGATGTTTTTTAGATAATTGCCGCAGGGACAGGAAAAGTACATAGGTAAAAAATATATGTCGGATATTGAGTAAGGTTTTACGGTGTCATAAATCAGTGATCCACAGTGAGACGAATATTCGACTTTTGATTTAGGATTAGTCCACTCGACGAAAAATTGCCATGAGATTTTTATCAGTAATGTTCGTGTTTTTTCGTTTTTATTTAACTATTAAGAGTAAGAATGTCGTGTAATTCGGGCAAAACCTAAAATAAAAGCGGAGAGAAAAGGGACAATGAACGGACATTTTTGATAGTAATCTTACCAAGAAATGCCTCCATGAGCAAAGTTACTAATCCCTTAATTAAAACACGATATCCGGCTCTTCTCTGTAAAGAAACTGTCCTAGTCAATCTAGAGAGATTGATAGCTTTCCTTACTTCTTCATTGTATGACATGCTTGTGTCTAGTACAAGTCAAAAGCTGTAACTACGGAATAACCTTTTGATTTAGAGCTAAAGATAGCATCTTCTTACTCACTTTCACCTTTTAAAATGTTTAATTTGCTTGTGATTACTCAACGACAATTCTTTGGACGCCATTAAATAAGTCCGTGTATTTGATTTGACCGAATGGGAAATTAAAAAGGAAAAGATAGCAATTCAAGATTCGTCGGTTTGTATAATACAAAGGGAAGTATGCTTCAAAGTGAAACTTAAAACGATACTCATCATTAATAGTTGAAAATGAATGGGGAAAAAAGAAGAAAAAAAGGATAGTAATATAAACTGACGATAAACATGGATCATAACATGCGCCACAATCTTGAGAAACTGCGCAAGATGAATTGGCCGATTGGTTGGCAAGATAACACATGTACCCTTGGAACAGAAGTAGAACTCTATGACAAACAGTCTGCATCAACAAAAACCATTTCTTCCTTAAAAGCAAAAATCAAATTTTATTTTATCTTTTTAATTGATGTCTAGCTTATTTTCTTCTATTTACTTAACTATATTAAAGTAAACACATATCAAAGGACAAAAAAAGCCGAGCTGACAGTTGACATTTCAAGCTCGTTCCGACGATATTTTTAGCTGTGCATTCAGAATATTCTGAAAAAATCAACAATAATACCCAGCAATTAGCTAATGGGAGCTGAAAGTTCAAAGTATCAATCAGGTAATGGCTTAAATGCTTCCTTTTCGTGGTCCACAAATGACATAATTCATGAAAACTTCCAAAGTTAGCCGTTAATTAATGGTGTGTATGAAAAACCCTCAAAGGAAATTGATAGCATTAAACTCTTTGAACTGAGTCATTTAGTCCTTGGCGCCGGCAAACAGGAGAGCTTAGTACAACCGCTCGACACAATCTTATACTGATGACCCATAAATATTGAGTTTATTTATCATTAAATTGCAATGAAGCTTTGTCAGGTTTTAAAGCTGTATTCTGGATAATACTAAACTCGCCCCCATCTTTTCCTTCAAATTATTCAATTTGCGCGTAAGGCCTCTCCGCTTCATACGCGTGATCTATATTTTATACTGTTCTCACTCTTAATCTTGACCGCAACTTGAACTTCCTTAGTTCTCAAAATCCCAATCAACTGGATCTTTTTTAATTCCCGATTATTGCATAATACTGATATTTTGCGTGATATTGTGCATACATAAGTATATATACTTATATTTTTTCATGATATGGGTCTACAATCAACATCTTTAATCTATTTCCATTTCAGATACTGCTATCATTCACTTTTAAAGCATTTCCTTGCACTTTTCATTTTATTTCTTCATTGTGGTCTTATGCCGACTAGATGGTTCTTTTTATAGAAGCCTAGAAGACTCTACTTCGCTCAAAGCCTTAGTACCCCACAAGCGAAGATGCAGACCGTAATTTTGCGCGGCACCTCCTACCTAGAAAATATTTGTTATCTGCTCATAAATCCATGGGGTCAAAGTCCCTATTAATCTTCCATATTCAGGTGGATATAATCTTTTCTCATCGCCGATTTTCCGTGTATTTTTCTGCCTTTAAGAGCCGGGCTTGAACTTCCCATCTACGAAAAGACTATCCATTTGTTAAAGGTACTATAGACAAACCATCTTGCTCGCGCGAGAAAGAAAACAAAAATCACTTCACATAAAACAATATTACTAATGCAAAATTAGCTTTTAGAAAAGAAAATTAAAAATGCATTTACTAATAAAGAAATTATAATGGATTGAAGAAGGAAAAAAAACATAATTATGCAGGTAAATGTATTTGTCATTTAACTGAAATTCTTCCAGCTCAGGGCACGAAACATTTGAGAATGAACGAGCCATTTCTCAAGACCACAGAGAACTTAGCTTCAACCCGTTATTTCAGAGCTGAACACTTGTGCTTAGAGAAGAGAGAAGAGTAAAGAACAAGTTGAGACTTCTAGAATCAAGCTTTAGTAAGCTGGTTCAAAAGTTTAATGGCTTTTTAAACTTGCACGAAAGGGAGTAATTGATCCCATTAAGACACTCGTGACGAGGATTACTTCAAGATTTAGTCGTACTAACTGTGTCGTGTGAAAATGGTCAAAGGGTTTACTATTAATCTCTTTGGACTTGAAACTAAAAGATGACCTACTTATACGTGATTTTCTGAAAGGACGGAGCATTGATGACCAAGATTTAGGTGAAATCCCTAAAAACATGGCCGCATCATCCAGCATCTACACTGATGTACATCAGTGCAATGCCAGCTAAGGAACATATTGTTAGATTTTTTTACCATTCCAGGGATGTCGTGTGTTTACTCGACGTCTGTCTACATAAAAGCCCTATATCTCTATAAATCTGACTAGTACTTCACGACATCATGGCCGTGATACTGCTTGAAGTGCACATGTTATATGTTATCTTCCAAAGAGAGAACAATGATTGTTAGTCAGGCGGCAGGAAAATAGCTTTCTGCAACCAAATACACAACACACGATTATAAGAGGACTCTGTAGAACTATAGGAATATTTACTGAATTAAAGATAACAGTGAAAAGCGCCAACTTGGCGGTATTCGTTATGCAGGTGAATTTGTCTGTGATATCCATGCGAGGGCCAATTTGAAGCAAGATAGTGAGCGTATGAATGAACGAACGAACAAACGAATGAACGAACGAACAAACGAACGCACGCACGAACGTACGAACATACGAACGAAAAAACGAAGATGGATGAATGAATGAATGAATGAATGAATGAATGAATGAATGGATGGATGGATGGATGGATGGATGNATGGATGGATGGATGGATGGATGGATGGATGGATGGATGGATGGATGGATGGATGGATGGATGGATGGATACAGAGAAGTATGGTTATATTGAAGAAATAGAAAACGCGCGCGCGTGCTGTGTGCTGTTATAAAGCACGTGGGGGTTGGCAGAACAGGAGAGAAGTGTTAGGAGACGCGTAGCGGAGTGCTTCTCGACACTTCTCGAGTGTTATGCCAATCCCCAAGTGCTTTATGACTGCACACAGCACAGCAAGCAAGTTTTTTATTTCTTTTATAAAATACAAATTACAATAATAGATAGAAATGACACAACGGAAAGTGTGCACGCGTGCAATGTGCTCTCATAAAGCACACACTCAAAACCAATCAGAAACCGACATTCATAACAGTTATTTTATAATTACTGGGAGGATTTCCCGAGAGGTGCTGCAGTACGTTGTACTTACTTACGAGTCATTAATGGTAGTCTACAAGCCGTAAACACATAGTCCACATGTTTTGGGACATTTTGTCATCATGAAGTTTCTAATACCAAGAGACCCTGAATCACAACCCCCTGACACGTGAACAAACTGCTGGCACGTATGAGGGAAAAGATCTTCACATGCTGAAAATTAAATTAACATTCAGATTACTTGAAATCAGCTTTAGCCTAGCTTTCTTTTAAATATGCGCCAGCAGTACTTAACGTGCTTTAGTGGTCTCTCAAAACAAAGCCGGGAACTCTAAAGGGGCGTACTGCAAGTCATAGCTTCGAGAAGCTTCAAGTAATTGTTACATAGTGTTCAACACCTCATAGCTCGCTTTCGACTTTAATATCCGCCCGCAGTAACGTGCTTCAGCTGTCTTCCAAAACAAAGTCGAGTGGTGGATTGCCACCATGACGACAAATACGTCATAGCTTGGGTTTGATAGTAGTATCTAGTGGTACTCACGTTGACATCCACTTCCATACCGGTCTAGAGGAATTGTACCATCCCAACAACACCCAGATGCTGGATTGAGTCTCTGACATCTTGATATTGGCGAAGCTGGGAGTTCTACAGGTGAAACAATAGTATGAGGCCATAGTAAAGGTGGTTTGTATTCACAATCAGATAATACTTACTGCATACTCCACATCTATATGTACAGTGTTTGAAGTCATATCCTCCCGGCGTGCAATCCAATGTCTTGGTCATCTTTTTTATCAAACAATCTCCTGGGAAGTCATCGTAACATAACTTCTCTGCAAGACGAATAACATGCGTATTCAGTCTTCATTACAAGCATAAACCAGCCTGTCTAACCACGAGCAATTCACGTGATATAATAATGCGTATCACGTGCAACAGTCTTTTGATCACATGTTTTTGTTGGTGTAACTTCAAATTTCTACATAGTTTAATAAATAATATACAATTACAGGGATGGATGGRGGAGGACATTTTTAATGCGTAATTTGTAAATTTTAATTATTTAGCACTCGGTTATATTTATTTGTTATTGGATTGTAATGCGCAGTAGAAAACAGAAATGTTGATTCTTGCGCAGTATAAGTTTGTTAATTTTTTAAAATAATAATAATGATTATTATTATTATTATTATTACTATTATTATTATTGTAATTATTATTATCAAATTTTATACCTGAGACAACCTCTGGACTGAACTAGTTTAGGTCACGGCTAGCTCTTAGATCTCAGATAGAAATACAATTTGGAGTTTTGCAATGAATTAAAGGGAAACCAAGAATAGTATTCCTTAAAGACTTAACTCGCATGTGTTGCTGAGACCAGGAATTCGAGACCCCAGCTGGGAGAGACACCACTAAGCCACCCTTGATTAACAAAACACATGTCAAAGTGGTGACTTACTTGCACATCCCTCTTCATTAGGGCCTGGTGATGGTGTATGCCAATCTCTACAACATCCGTACTTCGTCTTAGTACATGCTGAAGAGATATAACTATCAGTTAGAGGCTTTAATCACACGATACGACAACCTATAGACATATATACGAACCAATAAAATCGATTTTACTCACGAGGGGAATTGACTTGTCCAGGTTTAGTTGGAGGCCACGTATTAACCACCGTAGGAAGGGTCGTAACGTCTATGTTTAATAAATCCATTATTCCTGGGACTATTGCTGGAAGGTTAATAATACATCTTGTTTCTCAATAGGCCATTTCAAAAACGAGTTGGGGACTGGGTCGAGTTTTGTCTTGCAAGTGCTTGTGGGATCGTTACTAGGGATAGAATTCGACTATGTGCCTTTGATCTCTTCCAAATTCGTCTAGTGAATTAAACTGTTAACCATCGTAAACAAAAATGCCAAAGTATAACTGCTGTGTGCAAGGATGTAGTAACAGCCATAGGAACCAACCTCCAGAATTCAAGTTTTATTGCTTGCCAACGGACTTAGAAATGCGTAATAAATACGATGTTGTTATTCAAAATGACAATCTGAAGATCACGTCTACAAACACAAGGATCTGTGTGGATCATTGGCAAGGCGGTGAGAAATCGAACCGAACTCATCTATTAACTATGCTGCCATCTATCTTTCCATGGCGAGAAAGACATAGAAAAGCATAAATGCGGCCCTCGGGATGTATATGGCTTATTGCCTCCGTTCTCGGTAATTAACTCTTACATATAAGCCTATTCCAAAAAACGTTGTCGGTCGGAGATCTGAAATCTGAGACCGAAAGGAGTAGAAGTAGAAAGTAACCATAGAAAATGGCCTTAGATTTTTACGTCAAATGGACATCTTAGTTTTTTCTGAGTATTGTTGATAAAAAGGTACTAATAATAACTCATGAATACTCACCTGCTCTACCAGTCCATGACTGGCAAATGACTAACACAGTACATAGTGATATCACTTGATTCATTTTCGACGCTCAGTTCTATTCTCTTTATAGTGTCTTTCCGTCGTTTTGGATTCTGAAACGATTCTAGAGTCCACCAGTATTTATTCTTTCCACAAAACGCAGGCATTTCCCTTTTTCGTCGTGACAAAATAACTTTGCCGTTCGTCATGCATTTTTGGTTGTGAATTGTAGAGTCGGATAGTTGAACTTTTGCTCTTTTGTCGGAAGAAGTTGCCAAGTTAGCGCTGAGTCGGGCGGAGTAGGGTTTTCTTCCAACGCCACGAAACGGAAATGGTAGTCTACAAAAACACGTTGTGACGTACTTTTAGCTTGTGCTCTTGTGCATTAAAAAGTGCGCAAAACGTTTAGAACTTAAAACGAAATGGATTTTATTTTCGCACACCAGTTATTAGTAAAGACAAACCCGGCTGTTGCTGGAAAGAACACGGCGTCAAAATATGAATTTCAACCATGCAAACACCAAATATAACTGGRAAAACACCTCCCCCCCAAAAAAACCTTTCATAGTTTAAAACAGGAGGGACTCTCGGTTTAAAAAGAATTTAAACTGGTTAAAACTTTTATTTTTTAATTCCTACCTTTAAAGCAAAAGCTAGGGCAGTATTGACGCTGATATGCAATTACTGAAGCTCAGCCAGTAAAGTCGTTGTGTTTCAGATACCTTGAAATAGAGGGGAAGTCGAATGTGATGTCCACCCTGACCTCCACGTACCATTCCCCCCCTGATTGCTACCTGACGTGATAAAATCCATTCATATGTTATGTGGTTAAATAACTCTGCTATTCTGAGTATCATGTGGTGTGGGCTTTGGTTTTCCAAGGCGGTTAATAAGTGCCACGCCTTCAAACGGTAGATTTAAGCCAAGTTCTTCTGACCATTAAATCTGTTTTAATATCTCAATTACGGATATCCTTGGATCAAAATCTAGTTGATAAAACCAAAGTGTAAGGTGGAAGAACCCTGTTATAAAACAGGCAAGGCGAACGGAGGTGGAAGAGGAACTCAATATTTCTTCAACCTTTAATTTCCTTCATAACATTCTCCGCCCTTCAGTTACAGATCGTGCTCACTTTTGACCTGTGGAGTATCGAGATGATATTTACGACATGATTGAACCAATTGGTTTCAGTGATAAGTATTTGTGCAAGAAACAAACGATTCTCTTAACGATGGTAATCGATGCCGAGGTTAAGTATTGGCGGTTTGTTATCTGATATGATTTGTGCAAAGTAAACTTTTAAATACTTTTAATGCTTTTAAATACTGATATTGATATTCATCTTACAAGCTTTCTCTACAATTCTGGTCAATTCTCACTTTATCATATATAGCTTTTAAGGAATGACTTTATACCTGAAGCTTGCTCAATCACATGTCTGTCGTTTAAGGTGATCATAATTCCAAAACGTTGTATCACCTTATAATGTCATCAACTAAAATGGATTAAATTCTGGTTCTTAAAACTAATTTTTAAAAACACTTATTGCTCTAATCAAAACAATGATTAACCAACTACACAGTGATGAGTATATTCATTATTAGAAATAAACGRATATTCCAATACCGACAACATTAAATTTTGTTATATTTTTTTCTATTGAACACTTCATATACCGACAGAACACCCTTGTCACACCCGTTATAATTTCACCGCGATGTCGACAGAGCAGAGGAAAGAACAAAATGTGTGGCTATTGAAGCTGAGAAGAAGTGATATCAGTGTAACCCAAAAACACCACGTAATCAATATAGTTCTTCGTCAAAAGAGCGCAAAAATATAATTTATTTAGAGCGGTAACACTTTGCTTACTTGCGCCCTTCCGTTTCCCGAATAGATTCCGAAAGAAAGTCAAATAACAAACGAATGATCAAATATCCTTATGACTAAACCACAGTCATGTCCGTTAGGTAATCTCACGTTACACACCAAGAGAAACAATGTGAATAATTTTAGTTTCATTATCCGGGTAAAAAGCGTGGATTAAATAACAGGGAGGTGATAGCATCTTTAGTAATGGAGGCTTATAATGCTACAAGTGAGTGCACACTATACTACTACAAGTGAGTGTACACTATACTACTACAAGTGAGTGCACACCATACTACTACAAGTGAGTGCACACTATACTACTACAGGTGAGTGCACACTATACTACTACAAGTGAGTGTACACTATACTACTACAAGGGAGTGCGCACTATACTACTACAAGTGAGTGTACACTATACTACTACAGGTGAGTGCACACTATACTACTACAAGTGAGTGCACACTATACTACTACAAGTGAGTGTACACCATACTACTACAAGTGAGTGTACACTATACTACTACAAGTGAGTGTACACTATATTACTACAAGTGAGTGTACACTATACTACTACAAGTGAGTGTACACTATACTACTACAAAGGAGTGCGCACTATACTACTACAAGTGAGTGTACACTATACTACTACAAGTGAGTGTGCACTATACTACTACAAGGGAGTGTACACTATACTACTACAAGTGAGTGCGCACTATACTACTACAAGTGAGTTCGGACTATACTATTACAAATGAGTGCGTACTATACTACTCACTTTGCACACTATACTACTACAAGTGAGTGCGCACTATACTACTACAAGTGAGTGCACACTATACTAATACATTCTATCGTTTCCATATGGTTTAATCATTAGAACACCGGAGTGAAAGGTCTAAGAATAGAACTTCTTGTTATTATATTTATCTTTGCATACTATCCTCGCCATACCAGACATAACAATAACTACACTGCTTTTAGACTGATGTTTGCTTTATCCATAATCTATTTCATCTACGAGTTTTTAATTGAAAAGTAGTTGAGCTCCTCTCCGACAAAGCCTCTGGATTAAATATTCCATTTAAGGTAACAGTTCACAAGTACTATGATTGCTAGCACATTTTATACGTCAAGGTTCTTAATTTTCCCGGGAATTAAGATTAGATTTCCAAAGCACTGTGCGTGTCAGGTTGATCCTGTCGACATGGCAGTGAGCCAGAAAAGTCGCAGGAATTCAAAAATAATCCTTCTAATTCCGCATAATCTTCTAAATATCGACGATTTCAACTTCATATCTCTCTAGAAACAAACGACAATAAATGATAAAATAATTCGAGTTGGAGTCTGTTAGATTTCTATCAAAGATCAAGAAGGTAAGTAGGTAACTGGATAACTCTTGTTTCAATACTTTTAAACAACGCGGGTTCGTGTCAGGTTAAATGAATGCCAGGAAGCGCTATTCCTACCATCTTCACAAATTCCAATTATCTTTTTGATGTATGTGATAGACTCTATAAAGGTATTAGCCTGTCATCGAGCTGACGCCGTAATGGTACGATAATTTGAATCCAGAATGTTCTTTTCCGCGTACTCATCTTTAGCTCAGTATAGAACTGAGACACATGTGTGAATGTGCCATGGATATGTTCTTCCTGTCCTTTTCCTGTAGATGTACCTTAACGTCATAATAAAATGTATTTTTGCTTTTCAATAAAGATAATTAAAGGTAAGAGTGAAACCATCTACTGAAGATTGTGAGCAGATATGAAAAACCTATGCGACATTGTCTGACAACTCATAAGGACCGGCCGTGGCTTTTAGAGCGCTTCAGCCAAAGGGATCTAAGGTTAAGCTAAAATACGACATATTTGGTGTTGAAACAAAGTTCAATTCCGTAAAGGCAGAATAAACTAAAAGAAGACCTTATCTTTGAAATACACCACTCTTCATTTTGTTTGCTGCGCATTGGTTCAGAGCGCATTCATGGTATATCCGAATATCCATTCATGGATCTTAAACACAGACACGACATCCTGTCTATAATGAAGTTATACATTCAGACATTAAAGTGCTAGCTCACTAAACTTCGTATCGCATTCAAGTACTGACAAGTGTGTGCGCGTAGAAAGTGGCCTTGGAATGATTCACTCCCCTTAGCTTCATGTAAGAATTCTTAAAAATGCTTCTTAACAAACAGTCAAAACTTCTTAAGAAGCCTTTGTAGCTCTTGAGAAATCTACTTAAGACAAAGGAATGACTATCTGTTTTAAAGGAAGTCGTCCTATCTTGTCTTTTGTCTTGACGTTCCAAAAATTTCTCAAAAGGTCAAAACAAGGCTCCAACCCTCTATAATTGAGTTCGGATGCTTTTTGGAAACATAAAAAATAACCAGAAATAGAACCCAGATGTTTATCCACCTAAAGACACCATATAAGCTGAATAAATACCGACTCCTTGCAAGATTTTTAAAAAGCTGATCATTAACTTTAAAGTTTTGCAGTCATAGAAAGACATTCTTTAAGAAACCATAGATTTAGTCGCTCGAATGATTTTGATATTGAATAGCGCAGCGCAACCGTGACGTCGTAAAAACTTACTAGTTTACTTTCAGCAGATAATTTTCACAGCCGATCGCAGTTGATCTTAGTTTACATGGGTTATTATTGTAACTTTAAGTAAAAATAATAAAATCGGTTCGTATAATCCTCGTAGCGGTTAAACAGAATGCAATGTTTGTCTGAATTTTTAAGCTATTTTTAGAATCAGTGCGCTGCGCTATCGTAATGGGGAACACAGATAAACACATAATCTAGCTTAATTAAAAGGCGAAACTGTAACAGTTAAGTGCAAATGATAACAAACTGTCAAGTGTAAGCATCCTATTCACTTAAGATGTTCCTTATGTTATATTTAAGGACATCCAGGTTACATTGACATTAGAGTCACTCTTGAGTGCAATTTCAATATGATTCTAAGAACTGTGAGTATATTAGAACTGTCAAGTGTAACCATCCTATTCACTTAAGATGTCCCTTATGTATGTTTAAGGACATACAGGTTACACTGACATTAGAGTCACTCTTGAGTGCAATTTCAATATGATTCTAAGAGCTGTGAGTATATTAGAACTGTCAAGTGTAACCATCCTATTCACTTAAGATGTCCCTTATGTATATTTAAGGACATACAGGTTACATTGACATTAGAGTCACTCTTGAGTGCAATTTCAATATGATTCTAAGAGCTGTGAGTACATTAGAACTGTCAAGTGTTACCATCCTATTCACTTAATAAGATGTCCCTTATGTTATATTTAAGGACATCCAGGTTATATTGACATTAGAGTCACTCTTGAGTACGACAAAATGATTCTAAGAGCTGTGAGTATATTAGAACTGCGTATAGAATAGGATTATGATTATGATTATCACTTAGGATAATGGTAAGCTACAGTTTAGGAAATCCGGGTTGCATTGACTATAGAGTCATTTTTGAGTACGCACGCCAGATTAGAGTGTGATTAATGGCTGTAAACATATTGGAATAATTAATCAAATGTGGTATTTTGACATTTTGTTTTCACAAATCCAAATCTAATGAGAACAGAGTCATTTTCAACGCTAAGAAAAGAAAATAATACTCAAGAGAGACCGGAAATTATATTATTTATAAGGATATTATTAACATCCAATATGCAACATGTGATATGATTTACAGTTCTTTATATATAGTTTTTATTTCTAACGTGGCTTTATTTATCACCTTAACGTGAGTGCCTATTACCTTCTCTCTCGTTCTGTGATCATTATTATAATCACTTAAAGCTCAGCGGGATGCGCATATATACATAATATTATTCCAGAATAAACAGTGTTTTGAATACACACAGTTATATTATAATCAGCGATCTCACGTAAATATCTACGGGAATAAATAACAAGGCTCTACGTGGCAGGGTCGCCGACTATTAACTTGCCGAGCCCAAGTAAGGTTGCCGAACTGCGAAAYCTAGTCTTTCCTCTAGCCTTTTCCCTCTATGGGATCTGATGACACCTGTAGCGTGTTAACTGTGGTGGGTTGCTAACCAACATCTTTCCAGTGTTCACTAATGCCCTTGAGCGATATTCCTTTTCATCTTGACGCATTAAAAATGCCTATAGTGACACATTGATAGCAAAAATGATGATTCAAATCAATAGAAGATTGCAGAGGGGGATTGCAAGAGTTATCTACTTGAGGTGAGGGAGACGTGGGCGTTGTCACATTCCTAACTACTAAAGGCAGAAACACAAACCAATTATCTAGTTTCTGTAGTTTAGCAGCATTTAAGGGCGCTTTTCACATTTGGCTTGCAGCAAGCCATCCCAGCTTATGTTAATTCAATAATAAAGTTCAAAACCTCTCTCCCTTCACGAGCAGAGACTCCAATTGTCTATTTGGCTGAGTTCTAATTAAAAGATTAAACATAAGTCACGTATATCAAAGTATTTGAGATAAATAGTTTAAACTGGCGATTATCGTATTCGTATTTCTAGAAAATCAAAACAACTATTAATGGTAGGTACATATATACAATGTTAAGTGATTTTTGCCTTGGTTATAGGGTCCTATAATCTTAATAGGTTAACGTCTCCTATAAACCAGACTTCCCTGCTTGGCACACCCACATACTGCACATCACACAACTGTTTTTACCCTAGTTAGCTCGCTCAGCGTACAAGGATTTTACGTGGTAGATTTTAATTCTACAACAAAATATGTTAACCATGCTTAATTTCTGCGCACATACTTCAATTAAGACATGAAATCTCATGAAAAATAATACCTTAGTCTTGACATGGCACAACAAGCAAGGCGACCTAGCGCAATTTAGGAGAAACCAACCGTAATCAAACACTGAGAGCATATCTTTTGTCATCTTTAAAAGGCCGAGACGTCGGGACAAACCACTTCAGTGTTTCCGACACATCATTAAATAGAGACATACGTTTGTGAGACATTCCTTTATATTACGGTTTAGTAATTCTCTTATTTCAGCTCGTGATAAGATGCATGTAGCATTTTTTTAGTTAGTCCAGGTAAAGAACCTGTAACATCCAGCCACTTATGACAAGAATGCAGTAAAAAAAAAAAATGGTTAAATTGATCATATACGTCCGCTCATCTTCATGACCTACCAATAAAATGTGGAACTTTACCAATATATATCTTATGGCGCATTTGTCGTGGCAAAATTCAAACAAGATTTTTTTTGTGCTCAACCTTCTGTTTTTCCATCCATCCATTCAATTATTCAGTTTAGCCGTATTTATTGGTTATTTCAATAGACTTACGCTACCAGTATTATATCAAGGTTTAAATCACCTTTCAGAAAGAGGTGCCTAAAAACGTACACAGATTCACCCTAGTTAAACAAAGTATTATCGTCTATTCGTGGGTAAAAATAACTTAAACAATAAAGGATGTTTATAAGGAAACCAATATTAAGTCTGCGGTTTACCCTTTCTTGTTATTTCGCCGCACGCGTTGTCTCAGCATACAGCAAAAGACCTCAGGCTGTGTCTGGAGTACGAGGGCACGCCACGATTAATAGGAGCAGACAATGAAATGTTTTGAGATACAACCCTATAATCAACAACAATGAAGTGGACATCAAAGAAAACATCTCAAGCTGTTTTCATAATCTAGTCAGGATTTATAGGATTTTATATAAGAGAAAAGCAAAACTCTCCAATGAGTAGTTATGAGTCTTTTGCGGTTAGAAGTCACACGCCCAGCATGTATTGCCGGGGTGACGACAGCACTAAGTAGTTCGGTCGAAACAAATGACTTGTTCCACGTGGTATTTCACAATAAAAGCAAACTAATATCCCATCTAGTGTTTAAGAAAATCATTATTGGATAACAGACCAAGAGTACCAAATAGTTTTTTGCCTTTTGACACAACCTATAACCAAGCTACGCTTAATCTCAAAAAAGTTCTCATAAAACACTTGCAGATTAATTGTCTTCAACTCCTAACCAATGTTGCTAGTATCTCACTGAGATCCTCCAACAGTGTCTTACAGGAAGGTTCAAAACAGAAAGGAAAACTCGCCCAGAAATCTCCTAGTGAGAGCTAAACTACTTTCCACGAAAACTACAGCCAGCTCATTGAAAACGGCGAATGTAGAATGTGATGGCAATACACACACCCTTGAACAAAAGTCAGTAAGGGTCAGTGATTCATATCTGTTCACTTCAGTTCATTGTTCCCACTAAGGACATCAGAAAAAGATGACAAATATTTCTGATTCGACAAGATGTAACATGAGGATAACAAATAATGTGTTTGTAAAAAAAGGAAATTATTATTATTTATTATCTTATTTTAAGATGCAGGGTTTGATTTCTAGCTCCATAAACTACCATACGTAATTAAGCTTAGTCGTTATAAATGAGTTCTGTCATCAAAGCCATCATTTTATCACTGTTTATACGTGCTTTATCTAAAAGATTACGAAAGTCCTCAAACAGTCGGTCCGGTGGTAGCTCCTTACGACTTGACTTGCTTGACAAGGGCACACAGTAGTCTCAAGTATGAACACGACATCAAAAACAATAACTACTAGCTGTGAGATACTTAATTAAGTGATTCTTCGAAGTGAATATCCCTTGTTATCCAGTGTAAAAACCTGAATTTGACAATTAACATCTACGGGCAACTGCTTTTATGACTTGCAATGAATATTAGTGGCGTCGCTGGTCAGAGATAATGACTTTTGATTAGCTCATAATAATTAACGATAAAGAGAAGCTACACATTCTCTACTGAAGTGTTAAGCTGTGTTTGTCACCACCGTCATCGTTGGTATTTATTTTCCAGAACCGTGACTATTTGGTTATTTCGATTAATCATCCACTAATTGATCGCGCTTGCAAGCACGACCAAGTAAGGTGATGTTAAATGAAATTAGGGTCCCTAAAAAAATAGTTTTAATTTTTTGGACACTTCTACCTTTACAGGCAATGACTATTGTTGGTTTCTCAGTGATGTGGTTCATTCTTGAAGAGAAAGGATAGAAAGTTCACATGGCTAGATCAGAGAGATCATTTCACTCAATTCCACTCATTCTTTGTCGTCAAAAAAGAGATTTAGAGTACACTTCTCTGCCACTCTACTATTTGATGAGATCTTTGAGACCTTGAAATCCCCAAGAGCTACTTAACCCCGTAATTACTGAGAGGATTCGAAATTCTAGAAAAGAAGGTTTTAGCTGAAGTCTAGACAACATGGAATAAAATAGATTAAAAAAAAAAAACGAGTTGTAATGACGTGATTTTATGTGTTTTTAAATTTCGCAACCAAACGTATTATGATCCGATATATTGGTACAAAAACTAAGCTGAAACATTTGAGATTTTGGGTTTGTGTTTTTGTTCTTATTTTCGTCTTGTTGTTTTGTTGTTGTTGTTGTTGTTGTTACGTTGTTGTTTCGTTTTTCTTTTTGTTTCCGTTTTTCTTTGTTTCCGGCGTTTCGTTTATTTGTTGTCGTTTTCATTTCCAATTAGGGTAATTAGCTAACTAAGGTTATTACGTAACTTATAGAAAAACGAGATGGCACTTTATCATACAATGACCTTCTTAACGATATCTTAACAAATCACAAATTCACTCACGTACAGAAAAAACCGTATTATGAAAGAAAACACTTTAAAAAACCATCCTTAATTTATTAATACGTAATGACAAAAATCTTTGATATGCAGTAGGCGAAAGGAGCTGACGTGCTTCAGTTCAAATCCTTGATGTACGTGCTTTATAAAAGCTAAGCAGATCCTTGCTCAAAACGTAAATTAATGTTCAACTAAAATGTGTATCAAAAACAAGATGTTATAAGTTAGATGAATGGTCGCACCCGATTTAAATGAATGAGGCAACTAAAATAGATGTAGATGATACAACACGGATGTTGTTGAGTTCCTTGAATGCTAAAAGCAAGTTAATTTTAGGTTTAAATAGCATGTTGAAACATTTAGTGTTGCGTAGACATCATTAAACTCATTAACATTCGGGAGATGGACGGATATGAAGACATACGCCTTCGATTTCCCGCCGTAATGGTTTGCACCATGATGATCTGACTTGTCCCGCCGTAGCTAGCCAGCTAGCCGGGGGTCTTACCCTAAACAGTAATTTCATGTCAGTGCTCAACTGAAGAGACACCATTCTATTTCAGTTATTGTCCTGTGTATGTCGAGCAGTAGAAGAAACTAATGTTTGGATAATTGATTAGATTTGTCTTGCCATAGCCAATGGACCAGGCTCACCAATTCGGACTTAACAGTAGTTTGATGCCTAAGAAGTTCAAATGAACCCTTCGACAATACTTTCAGTACTGATCCTACATGAAGTAAATAGTTGA